AACTTAACGTTAAAAGTATAAAATATTGAAATAATTCACTCTGGGATTTGTAAAGTTTCAGTACGATATATTTTTACATTTCCCGTTACCCGTTACAACCATGATATTGATATTAAGTACTATCATAACATGAAACTAAAAAGTGAAAAATAAATATAGTTTAAAAAATGAAGTGTGTATCGGTTGTTATTATTATACATTTTAGTTTTTAAGTTACATTGTTTTTTCATTTGAAGTAATTGTTGTTTTGGTATTAATCAGTAAAAACTTTGCTCAATTTTTCGTTTTAAAATATATCGTTCATATTATAATTGTAAATTCGTATAGTTGTATTCTGTTTTATGTTTTATTGGTTATAACATTATTACAATAAAGCTACAGGTGGTATATCACCTTTATAAATGGTAGTTCATTTTATTCATGGTATTCAAACAAAATTAAAAACTGAATGTAAGTAATATGGGTGTTTATATTTATTAATTATTTAATTCATCAACAATAAAAATTAGTGTTGTTATTTAAATTATTTCTTTATATTTATTAAGTTAACCAATCCTATTTCGGATAAACAAAAAATATTTTGTATTTTAACAAATTCTAAATTGATTAAGAAATTTTTGTTGATTAATAGTTGCCCCTATTTTAAGCCGTACGACCAAGTTCTGTTCCCCATTCATATTTGGGATTTTTTAGAACAGCAACAAGTATAACCAGCTGGACACCTAGAGATAATATAATTCAACAGGAAGCTGATGGCGACACACGCACACACACTATTTACGTGGTAGGTAAGTTAAGTTAAATATAAGACAAGAGTAATGGTCGTGATGATAGCAAAAAGTCAACTGTCGTCAGGGATATTTTATTATGGCACATTGGCTGTGAATTGCAAAAGTGTTCATGTATGCAGTCTGCCCTTCTGTAGTAATACGTGTGTCACTGTGTCAACGATATAAGACTAGTCGGCGTTATTATAATAATATGAAATATGATCATATAATGTGATCGTATCAGATTTATTATAAAAACTTAAGTTGATAAAATTTTAAGGAAGTCAGGAAGGGATAAGAAAAAATTATTTTTAGAAATTATAAAACGAAGAAATATTTAATTTCTAAAATTAGAAACTCACTTTATTTTTTATATTATTAAAGATATCGTATGAGTCATATTTTGTCATTTGTAAAAACACCATTATATGTATAAAGGAATTATTTAAAAAATACTATGGTTTGATTTATTTGGATATTTTTATTTAATCAATTACAATTTGTTCTATCAAAATCTTGTCTTTTGGAAATATAAAACTATAAAATAATATATACATATTAGCTTCAATGCGAAGCTGAGAATGTATTGGTTTTACTAAGATGTGTTTTTTTTTTTTTTTGTCTGTTACCACTTTTTCTCAGCTCTCACCGAACCCATTTCTTTCAATGATACGTCAAAAGATCACAACTCGTATCTACTCGAAGACATTACCCTTAAAAATTGAAAAAAATTCCCTCGTTCCCCGTAAATGGGGGAAACCTCCAAAAAAATTACAAATTTAAAAATCGCTAATTTTTAAAATTTTTTAATTTTTTTTACTTAAAATTGACATAACTTTTTTATATAGATACATGATATCGTTACTTTTCATTTGATATATTTTTTTTATAAATCTGACCCTTTTCCTTCTCACGGGGAGGATTTAAAATGACACCTTTTTCAAAATAATTTAACTTTTTCCATTTAAATTTTTAAAATGTTCCGGAAAGTCTGACACTTTTATCTATATCTTAAATTAAAGCTAATGTAGTGTACTATTTTATTTTAAAAAAATTTCGGACTTTATTTTGTCCTAACGATGAAAATGGCTACCAAATACTATTTTTGTGTGAAAATTCTCGATTTTGTATTTTATATTTTTAACTTATTGCAAAGTGTGTGGATCAACACAATTTTTTTATGTGAAATAATATTTTTTAATAATCCCTTTTTCATTCGACATACTTTATCTTAATTAGGATATTAATAAGGAAATAGCAGATCATGTGTCTGGTCAGTGACCTTTAAGAAGTTTATGATATAAATTTCAAACATATTTTAACTACAGCAGCACACACGTTAGGATTTCACATGGAATGACTAAATAATAAATTATAAAATATCAATTTTATACAATATTTAATTGCTATAAATACAAAACTATATATTATACTTATAATCCATAGAACTATTAATTAGAATTAAAGAAGGAAATAGGAGTTAATTATGTTTGTAGAATATTCCTTCAATTTCCTAAAATTATACACTTTCTATAGATTTGCATCGAAACTTATTTTTTATGATAGAGTTTAATCACTGCCAAATATACTTGTCACAACTATACCACGCTCACACTGTGCTACGTTTTTTTTTTTTTAATTATATATGATTCTTGATTCATTAGTTATTATTTATGAGGATTATCTCCTACCACATATAGTTGTCTTCATCTTTCTTTTAAATGGCAACATACATATTTAATTACATTATAAAATAGAAAATTTTCTAATTTAGAAAATGACTAAACAGTAGCAATATTTGAATCAGTAATTTAAATGTTATTCTCATTTTTATATCTAGTCGGGATGAACAGTGCAACCAGGAAATGACTGTGTGAAGTGATAAAAATATCAGCATCCACTTCTTCCTTTATTCATTTGTGTAAATTATTAATAACTGAAATACTGGTCAAAAGTTGTTATCGATAAGTCATATTTTTAATTAGTTTATTTACTATTTTATAAGCTATTTAAATAAGCATGTTAAGATTTAAAAAATAAGGTTTTTATCCTTTTTTCATTGTAGATAGGGGATAAGAATACTTACACGACCCAAAGGAGTATTACCGAAATTTTTAATAAATAAATTACACATTTATAAGTTTAAAATTAGAGTTACTCTATTTTTTAGCTTCGATGCGAAGCTGAGAAGGTATTGGTTTTACTAAGATGTGTTTTTTTTTGTGTGTGTCTATTACCATTTTTTTTCAGCTCTCACCAAACGGATTTCTTTCAACGATACGTCAAAAGATCACAAATCGTATCTACTCGAAGACATTACCCTTAAAAATTGAAAAAAATTCCCTCGTTCCTCGTAAATGGGGGAAACCTCCAAAAAAATTACAAATTTAAAAACCGCTAATTTTCAAAATTTTTAAATTTTTTTTACTAAAAACTGCCGTAATTTTTTCAAAAATGAATATATCAATATAATTTTTTTTTTATATATGCTTGATGTCTTTACCTATCATTTGGTATATTTTTTTGTAAATCTGACACTTAACCTGCTCACAGGGGGGCATTTAATTTGACAATTTTTTGTCGGAAGGTCTAATACTTTTATATATATCTTAAATTAAAGCTAATGTAATATACTTTAATTTGAAAAAAAAAATTTGACCTTTGGACTTGACTTTATGGTAAAATAGGCTACTGAATGCTATTTTTTTGTGAAAATTCTTGATTTTATAATTTACATTTTTTACTTTAATCAATCCAATTTGTTCATGAGAAATAATATTTTTTAATAATCCCTTTTTCATTCGACATACTTTATCGTAATCAGGATATTAATAAGGAACTAGCAGATCATGTAACTTTTAGAATAATCCAGCAATTTTTTAAAATTAAGCACTATAAAGATTTGCATCGAAGCGTTTTTCTTTTTATAGTGAATTTTTTCAAAATTTTTTCAAAATTTTATCAATTTTTTTTACTAAAAACTGCCGTAACTTTTTTAAAAATAAACATATCAATATAATTCTTTTTTTTATAGATGCATGATGTCATTACCTATCATTTGGTATATTTTTTTTTTATATCTGACCCTTTACATGCCTACAGGGGGTGATTTAAAAAGACAACTTTTTTACAAAAAATTAATTTTTTCAACTTAAATTTTGAAAGTGTTCCAGATGGTCTGACACTTTTATATATATCTTAAATTAAGGCTAATGTAATGTACTTTATTATGGAAAATAAAAATGAAGATTTTGGAATAATCCACCAATTTTTTAAAATTAAACACTATCTAAAGATTTGCATCGAAGCGTTTTTTTTTTTTTATAGTGATTTTAATCACTGTCAGATATCATAATACTTGATCCAACTATGCCACGTCACCACTGTGCTGCGACCCCCATGTGCTGGGTTTTTTTAATTAATATACATGTATAATAAACAAGGGATAACAAATACAGGTAGCTAATTGGGATTTTATGGCGTCCATATTCGCAGGTACAGCAATTTATTATTAATGATAGTAAGGCACATTGTTATGAGTTTATATTTACATAAACTGACAACATATCCATTGATTGTAATAATTTACAATAAACACTCCATGACTGTGATAGCAATAAACAATAAATTATTGGACTAATATAATGAGAGAAATCGTGGTGCATGTTGTTCGTTGACAATAAAGTGTTAATAGGAAAAAATAGGGAAGACATTAATCAACGACTAGAGTTCTGGAGATCAGTTTTCGAAGAAAGAGGATTACGAAATAGTAGGAGAAACACAGAATATACAAAATATGAGTTTCAATAGTTTATAGCATTTTAAAATTAAAAAAATAAAATCGAAAATTTTCACACATAAATAGCATTTGTTAGCCATTTTTACTGTGAAGACTAAACAAAGTCCGAAATTTTTAAATAAATAATAAAGTACATTACATTAGCTTTAATTTAAGATATATATAAAAGTGTCTAACTATGCCACGTCACCACTGTGCCGCGACTCCTCTGTGCTAGGTTTTTTTTAATGAAAACTGAAAATATAAATATTTTATAAAAATATATATTCATTAATATCATAATTATTATGTATGTTTATAATTATACTAAAATTTATTGATATTACAATATATATTGCTGAGAAAAATATCCTTTACAATTTTCTTCTTGTTTAAAAAATCTTCGTTATCTTACTAGTCATTACGTCTAGACACACATAATAAATTCTGTAAACCCAGATGATATGAGGTTACATTTGCCATACGCCTTAAATAAGATGGATTTAAAGCATTTCTTATGAGTGGTTCTAAAAAAAAGATACACAATTATTAAATAGTAAATTATCAATTAAATAATTGAACAGTTTCCTTTTATATGTTAATTTTTATTAAAATTTAAATTATAAACACAACCCATTCAGAAAAGACTATGCCATTGAATTACATATTTATAATAATTTTTTGCAAGAAAAGTGCAAGGCATTATTTTCTATATTTATTTGTAATTGTACGTAAACAAAATTTTGCAAGTAAAAAATAATGAAATATGTTTGGATTTCATTATTTTATTTTCTATTAAAATCATTATATATATTCATAAATATATATAATAATATATATATTATACAAATAATATATATATTCAAATATATTTATTATTTAGATTTGCTCTATAATTATTATATTATTATATCATATATATGGTGACTCATTTAATAAGTTTCGAAATATAAGACAAGCGATAATTTTTTTGTTTTCAGAAGTTAAGAGTATTTTTAATTTTTATCATTTATAATAAAAAATTTGATCTCGGCTCTCTCTAAGCATCTAAAAATTGTCTTAATTTTTATTTTTAAATGGAATCATAGGAGATATATCAGATCTAACTTGCAGCTTTTATAATTTTTAATACAATTAAGATTTTGTTTTAATTTTTGTCTAAGTACAAAGATATCCGACTAATGATCGGACTAAAACAGTTGGATCATTGTCATAATAGTAAGTTTATTAAACATATAAATTTCTAATTAAAAACTATATTTGATGCAATTTTTAGTGGAAAGACCCAACTTTCCCCAAATTACCAAAATTACCAAAATATGGCCAATTTTTTTATAAAACTATAAATTATAGAACTCTATAAATTTTGAAGAAAATAAATTATTCTATATATTTTTAATTCATTAAGATATTGCATGGGCCAATTTTACACAATCCCATAATATTTTATAAATAATAAGTACAAACCATCGTTACAGAATTCTTCAACTTTTACGCTGCATATTGGACATTTGGGATAATATTCATTTTTATTACTAATAAAATCAGCACAGACTACACCTATTCTGTGTAGGCACGGTTTTAGTACAACGTGTCGAAGTTCTTTTTTGCATGCACATCTTTCTATTAACTCTAAATGTTATATACAGAGTATAATAAAATCCAAAATAATATTTATTTAATAAATGTAATAATACTTAAATATCTTTAACGATATAAAAAGTACATAATTAATCCCTGTGGATAAAGGACATGAATATTTCCACGGCCCCTCTGCCAGTCGTAGTTACTAATGAGGTTGCGTCAGGTCGACTGACGGCATAAAAATGTTTGTCAAATAGTATGAGGTGTCCTGAACAAAACTTAGGCGAGTTGTCCCATCTCGGATGTACGCGGGGACAACAGGTGAAGTCCCAAGTAGTTGGGATTAAGGCGAGGAAGAAGAAAAGTACATATCTCTAAACTGCATTGAATATTCTTTTCCTTTTAGGATTAGGTGAATTTTGTAAAACATTGTAGTTAACGCATTGATTATTATGATAAAAATAACTACTCATATTATTAAATCTATAAAAATGTCCTTCTATAATTCTATTTTTATAATTCTTATTAGTACAGTAGGCAACGGAAAACCACTGCACTTAAATTTCCCCATGATATATCAATCCATTGGTATTAACCAACCTAACGGTTGTAAAAAAAAAAAATTCTTAATAATATTATTTCTAAAATTTTTACTTAATTTGTTGCTTCTACATATATTAGTCCTATAATTCATTAGTCTACACTGATTATGATTTGGATATATCATTAAACTTTGATGATATACATATTTTAAATTTATGATTTACCATTAGGATTTTTTTTAAAAGAATCTATTTCTATTTCCAAAATTTCCAAAATGCTATTGTATTTGCTAAAATTTGTATCTTACTTCAATTCTTAAAATATTTTATTTTAATTTATCTACTGTACTATTATTCAATGACATAAACTTATGAATTATTTCTTCTGGTGGTCGCTTAAAAAAATACATTCTTCTACTACCCTTAATAAATTTTTTTAATAGATTCACTATCAGTCATTTTGATTATTATTTAATTTTTCTAATTAAATTCAGATTATTGTTAAGGTTAAAATTAATTAATGACAGTGTAATATTTTCCCAAAGTATAAAGATAACATAGAAAGATTTTTCTTATTATTCAACTCATTCTCTTAAGTTACACCACCGAAATATTAATGATATTTGTCGATATATATTTCCACTTTTCCCGAATATGTTAACGGTTCGATAAAATTTGGCATATTTTATTTTTTAATTATACACATATAAACAAGAGTAAAATGATAAAAGTAATTATTGTGCCAAAAAGCAATTGATATTTCAAAAAAACGGTAGCACAGTGGGGTCGTGGCATAGTGGAGACATTGCATAGTAGGGTCCAGTATAGATTTAATCTGACAGTGATTAAAATCACTATCATAAGAAACGCTTCGATGCAAATCTGTAGATAGTGTTTAATTTTAAAAAATTGATGGATAATTGCAAAAGCAACATCAACTTCTATTAAAATAAAATACAAAACCCATAATTATCATACAAAAATAGTATATTTTTCAATATGGTAGCCATTTGCGTATAGAAGATAGATCGTCGGGACAAATTTTTTTTTTTCATTTTGTAGTACATAAAATAAGCTTTAATTTTATATATGTTTAAAGGACGCAGTATTTCCGGAACATTTTCAAAAATTAAGTTGAAAAAGTTATTTTTTGTAAAAAAGTTACTATTTTAAATCCTCCCAGTGAGCAGAATAAGTGTTAGATTTTCAAAAAAAATTATATCAAATGAAAGGGAAATATCTAAGGTTTCAATACAAAAAAATATTATTTTTATTTGTTCATTTTTGAAAAAGTTATGGCAGTTTTAAGTACAAAAAACATCCCGATAAAATGTAATTTTTATCGCAAACATTACATTTTTTTTTAAATTTTCGACAGCCATTTGCACATAGAAGATAAGATGTCGGGACAAATTTTTTTTTTTCATTTGATAGTATATAACATAACCTTTGATTTGATATATGTTTAAAGGACGCAGTATTTCCGGAACATTTTCAAAAGTTCAGTTGAAAAAGATCTATGTTTTTTACAATATTTTAAGTTTTGAACGCCCCCTATATAAGGGGAAATTGTCCAATTTTAATAAAAAGTATGTCAAATGAAAGATGTACTTATAATGTATTTAGAAAAAAAAAATTTGTGCTGATATATACATTTTTCAAAAAGTTATAGCATTTTTAAGTTGAAAATTTAAAATCGAAAATCGAAAATTTTAACACAAAAATAGTGTTTTTTTAACTACGGCAGCCGTTTAAATGTAGAAAAAAAAGTGTCGGGACAAATTTTTTTTTTTCATTTTGTAGTACATAAAATAAGCTTTAATTTGATATATGTTTAAAGGACGCAGTCTTTCCGGAACATTTTCAAAAATTAAGTTGAAAAAATTAATTTTTGTAAAAAAGTTGCCATTTTAAATCCCCCCCAATGAGCAGGTTAAGTGATAGATTTTCAAAAAAATGATATCAAATGAAAGGTAAATATCTAAGGTTTTAGTATAAAAAAAAATTATGTTGATTTGTTGATTTTTCAAAAAGTTATGGAAGTTTTAAGAAAAAAAAGTGAAAAAATTTCGAAAATTAGCGATTTTTAAATTTGTAATTTTTTTGGATATTTCCCCCATTTGCGGGGAACGAGGGAATTTTTTTCAATTTTTAAGGGTAATGTCTTCAACTAGATACGATTTGTGATCTTTTGACGTATTTTTGAAAGAAATCGGTCCAGTGAGAGCTGAGAAAAAGTGGCAACAGACATAAAAAAAAAAAAAAAAACATCATAGTAAAATTAATACCTTCTCCGCTTCGCATCGAAGCTAAAATGTTAAACTCAAATTGTAATCAAACATGGATTATTATCTAAATTAGAAAGAGCAACTGTAGTCCACTTTCAATAAATTTTATCAATAACTGGACAAACAGGTGATTGAAATGTGGTAAGACATTCATTTTCTTAGAAACTATTGAGAGTTTTGAATTTTTGTAAAAAAAAATCAGCTTTACAGACTCCAATAATTAGTAATTAAACCCCTAATACATGTTGGTGGCGGCTGCCTTTGTATTTTAATCGAGTTCCAAGACATACTTTCTATTTTTTAGGGCAGTCGTATACGAAGTTGATTTTGCTAAAATATATACAAATTACGTTCAGATTATTTAAGTAAATTTTTATTATTATTATTATATTTTTTTTAGCTTCGATGCGAAGCGGAGAAGGTATTAATTTTACTATGATGTTTTTTTTTTTTTTTTTATGTCTGTTGCCACTTTTTCTCAGCTCTCACTGGACCGATTTCTTTCAAAAATACGTCAAAAGATCACAAATCGTATCTAGTTGAAGACATTACCCTTAAAAATTGAAAAAAATTCCCTCGTTCCCCGCAAATGGGGGAAATATCCAAAAAAATTACAAATTTAAAAATCGCTAATTTTCGAAATTTTTTCACTTTTTTTTCTTAAAACTTCCATAACTTTTTGAAAAATCAACAAATCAACATAATTTTTTTTTATACTAAAACCTTAGATATTTACCTTTCATTTGATATCATTTTTTTGAAAATCTATCACTTAACCTGCTCATTGGGGGGGATTTAAAATGGCAACTTTTTTACAAAAATTAATTTTTTCAACTTAATTTTTGAAAATGTTCCGGAAAGACTGCGTCCTTTAAACATATATCAAATTAAAGCTTATTTTATGTACTACAAAATGAAAAAAAAAAATTTGTCCCGACACTTTTTTTTCTACATTTAAACGGCTGCCGTAGTTAAAAAAACACTATTTTTGTGTTAAAATTTTCGATTTTCGATTTTAAATTTTCAACTTAAAAATGCTATAACTTTTTGAAAAATGTATATATCAGCACAAATTTTTTTTTTCTAAATACATTATAAGTACATCTTTCATTTGACATACTTTTTATTAAAATTGGACAATTTCCCCTTATATAGGGGGCGTTCAAAACTTAAAATATTGTAAAAAACATAGATCTTTTTCAACTGAACTTTTGAAAATGTTCCGGAAATACTGCGTCCTTTAAACATATATCAAATCAAAGGTTATGTTATATACTATCAAATGAAAAAAAAAAATTTGTCCCGACATCTTATCTTCTATGTGCAAATGGCTGTCGAAAATTTAAAAAAAAATGTAATGTTTGCGATAAAAATTACATTTTATCGGGATGTTTTTTGTACTTAAAACTGCCATAACTTTTTCAAAAATGAACAAATAAAAATAATATTTTTTTGTATTGAAACCTTAGATATTTCCCTTTCATTTGATATAATTTTTTTTGAAAATCTAACACTTATTCTGCTCACTGGGAGGATTTAAAATAGTAACTTTTTTACAAAAAATAACTTTTTCAACTTAATTTTTGAAAATGTTCCGGAAATACTGCGTCCTTTAAACATATATAAAATTAAAGCTTATTTTATGTACTACAAAATGAAAAAAAAAAATTTGTCCCGACGATCTATCTTCTATACGCAAATGGCTACCATATTGAAAAATATACTATTTTTGTATGATAATTATGGGTTTTGTATTTTATTTTAATAGAAGTTGATGTTGCTTTTGCAATTATCCATCAATTTTTTAAAATTAAACACTATCTACAGATTTGCATCGAAGCGTTTCTTATGATAGTGATTTTAATTACTGTCAGATTAAATCTATACTGGACCCTACTATGCAATGTCTCCACTATGCCACGACCCCACTGTGCTACCGTTTTTTTAGTTTTAAATTAATAGTATTTTTAACATTGTTATAATTTTAAATCCTAAGTTATTGTTATTTTGTAAAGATAAATTATATTTTTTAAATAATTACCTATATTTTTATAACGTAATATTGGATTTCTGCATAATGGACATTGAGTACCATTTTCTAGTGATAGCTCATTAGCACAATTATTGCATATTTTATGATAGCAAGGACTTAATGTTACACTTAATGGGTTTTCTAAATGACAAATACAGCATGTTTGTTCACTATCTAATGTAAAATATTAAATTACAATTATATTTTAATTAAAACTAATAATCCGATAGCTATTATTACACCTTGGTTAAATTACAAATAAATGCTGATTCCCCAATGAATTTTGTTTTCAAAGATTATAGAACCCAACATAAATAGTCTAAGAATTATAATAAAATTATACAAATTACGTGATACTGTTTGTTGACAAAATTATGTTTAAAAGTTTTTATTGAATTCCTTATATAATAAAAATGATTAGATTAGTTTATCTTTATGATCCCAGATACTTTATTTAGTAAAATTATCTCTTTGCATCGAAACCTTTTCTATGATTGTGATATTAATCATTATCAAATATCATTTTTTCTTGTCTCAACTATGTCACTACTTTCATGTACTGGATTTTTTTATGTTCTTTTATAAAATTATAGCTAAAGAAATGATTGCAATTTCATTGAAACGTTTTATGAGAGTGATGTTAATTTCAGGTGTTTAATAAGTATATGAACAACAGATGTTCCTAGGTTCTAATAATTATTTTTTAATTTTTTCTTTTTCTAATTTTAGTAGAAATAAACTTGAGTAAATCAAATATTTGAAAGCATACCATTTTCTGAAGAATTATCTTGAATTTGATTACAATCTTTTACAGGACACTTAGATGTTTTGTTTTTATTTNATTTTACAGGACACTTAGTTGTTTTGTTTTTATTTATGCAATTCTGTCCAACAGAGTGGTTACAATGCTTCATTTTTATTACAGAAAGTTCGTCGTGACAGTTTTGACAAAAATTGTTAATCTTTCCTAAAAAAATAATTATTTTATTTGTATGGTACGACTATTAGAACAACCAATCACCCAGTTAAATCTCGTCTTTGCTGGTTCTTTAGACATAATAAGTAAATTTAATACATTAATATTAAACCAAAAGGAAGGATAATAAAAATTAATTTATGGACTGTATGTCTCTTTTGGTATTTATTATTATACTTCATTTCAAAGAAGAGACAATTAATTCTTATTCTAATATTAGTTAATTAATGTTTGAACAAATATATGTATAGTGAATAAATAACTTTTACAAAAATATAATTAAATAAGTAAAATTATACATTCTTTAAAAAAACTGCTTTTATCTGACCTGTTTCAGTTTTATACAGAACTGATAGGTTCNGTATCAATGGGTTTTTTGCCAATCACCAAATGATTAAAATTACATATTATTAAAGTCTTTTTGCGAACTCTCTAGTATGGATATCATATTTGAGCCCCATGCAATCAGACATTACCTTATCCAATTCACTGACAAATTAATGTTTGTCGATAGTTTTTCGGTTTCACGTACAATACATGAATAACGTTCTTCAATGTAAATACAACTGCAAGACGTCAACGTTAAAGCTAAAAGTGTCTGTGATTCTAATGCAGCTACGCACACAAACATAGAGAGAATATGAAAACCCGAGTGACGCCATTCGCAACCACTTCAATATCAATATTTATTTCCTGTTTAATTATTTAATGATTACAAATTTAATGATTTTGAATGTAGTACATGAATGAATATGAATATGAATAAATACTTAATAAAGAAAATAAAATTTAGTATGAAATTGATATTTAATTATTTAGTAATGTAATTTTTACAGAGAAATTATTAAGAGTTTTAAAGTTGTTGTATACATTGATGGTTGGGATTAGAATAGACCACCGGTTGTCCCTGCTTGTCGCAAGAGAATACAAATGAGACTTGTAGGAGGGCAGCAGCTCTTATAATATTGAGATTAGGTGCAAGTAACTTCTTTAGAGGTAGAAACATCTACAGATCGAATAATAACCAGCAGATATTGCAGCCATATAACTGATGGTTACACTGCAATGCGGAAAGCAAAAGGAACAACCACATCAACGTTCCTTAGTAACAGCAATAACATGAGGTTCTATCGACTAAAAAATTCCGGAAGTAAAATAGTCCCCCATTCGGATCTCTNATTCCGGAAGTAAAATAGTCCCCCATTCGGATCTCTGGGTGAGGAATGTTAAAGAGGATAGAATAATCAAGATAGTTGGTAGGTGAAATAGAAGAATAGCAACCTGGAATATGCAAACCTAACTATAATGCGGTAACCTGGATAAATTAAAAATAGAAATGGCAAAGATGAACATCGATATTTTCAGAAGTAAGGTGGCCTGAAACAGGAGATATATGGAGTGGAGATAATTGATATATACACTCAGATACATCAGTTGAAAATCCTGGAAGGGGACGCGTAGGCATAATAGTTAGAAAAGACATTGGAAAGAAAGTGAAAAGTTACATGCAGTATAGTCAAAAGATTATTTCAAAGGATCTTGTCAAAATAGAAACCAAACCAAAAGACACAAGTATACTACAAGGTACCAAATAGATTTCATCATGATTAAAAATAGATTTAAACACCAGGTCAATTAAAGACAGAGCTATCGTGGTGCGAATATAAACAATGACCACAATTTTGTTATGATGAAATATAATCTCAATCCTCTACTAAAAATAAAATACAATATACACTTAAAGTTTTCAATTTTTTTTATGAGATTGATATTGATCACGGTCAGATTTCAATAATATATTATTGAACATTATGCACTGTTCATACCATAATGAAAAAAAAATTAAACATTTATTTCATACCTAATCTAAAAAAATGTCTAACTGTTATGTCACATTGCGGGCATCTTTGAGTTCCTAAGTATAATTGATCATTAGCACAGGTATTGCCAATTTTATGAAAACAAGGACTTATTGTAACTGTCGATGCTTCTTCTTTACAAGCGTAACATAAGCCGTTATCATCTGTAAAAAAAATATATAATTACCATATTTAAAAAATTTACATAAAAATAAACCTAGATTTTTAATTTATATCTATAACTGAAAAAAATTCAATATATAACAAAAAAATGGAGTATACTATGTTTAATAAATCACTTTGTATATTTTAAATTAAAATTTAAGTAAAATACGCACTAATATTATCGTAATTTGATATGAATTTTTGGCATAATTGAACCTGACATGTACGATTATGTTGATGATGAGCATTAAAAGCACACGCTCTACACAATCGGTGTAAACAGGGCTCTAAAATTACTTCATGTTTCAATTCGTAACAAACTTCACATAATTCCTGATTGCCTATTCAAAATATTTTATTAAGTTATTTTAATAATTATTATCATTATTATTTTTAAAATGGTTAACTAATGACGATTATATTTCTATTGCCAATACAAAAATTATACTACATAATAAATTCAATTAGAAGTTCCAATGTGGAACAATAAGAAAAAATTTATTATATAATTCTGAATCGAAGAATATCAAAAAAGAATTAATGTAATTTGCTACGAAAAATATATACATAGACTTTAAGTACACTTTATATAAGTCTATTAATTAATTTTAATGCATAATGTATAATAATTTAATAATATATTAATTTTTAACATCTTTTATAGTTAGTTTTCTATTTTCTATTAACAATGATGGTTATTAACTGAAATTATGTAAACAATAGTTATGTATGAACAGTTTATATTTTAAATATTATTTATATAAGAGCATGAATACGCTAATATTATTTCAAGTACTCTTACAAACACGAAATAATGATGCCACATTTAAAACTGCCACGACTAAAAAAAAAAAAAAAAA